CGAGGGAGGTGATTCTGCCCCTCTACTCTGCTCTCGTGAGACCCCACCTGGAGTACTGTGTCCAGCTCTGGAGCCATCAGCATAAGAAAGACACAGACCTGTTGGAGCAGGTCCAGAGGAGGGTCACAAAAATGATCAGGGGGATGGAACACCTCTCCTATGAGGAAAGGCTGAGAGAGCTGGGGTTGTTCAAACCGGTGAAGAGAAGGCTCTGGGGAGACCTTATTGCGGTCTTTCAATACTTAAATGGGGCTTAATACGAAAGGTGGGGACAGACTTTTTAGTAGGGCCTGATGTGATAGGACAAGGGGGAAGGGTTTTAAGCTAAAAGAGGTAGATTCAGACTAGATATAAGGAAGAAATTTTTTATGATGAGGGTGGTGAAACACTGGCACAGGTTGCCCAGAGAGGTGGTAGATGCCCCATCCCTGGAAACATTCAAGGTCAGGTTGGACGGGGCTCTGAGCAACCTGATCTAGTGGAAGATGTCCCTGCTCACTGCAGGGGGGTTGGACTAGATGACCTTTAGAGATCCCTTCCAACCCAAACCATTCTACAGTTCTATGATTCTAAGAGCTGGTGGGCCGCAGCCTCAATGACAGCTGAGTTTTGCAGTGCTAGGAGTTCCATAAGGCAGCCAAAGCTTGCTTCAGTAAAGCTCCTATATGCTCTACATTAGCTAGCACATGCAGCTGCTCAGGAGCAAAGCCTTGCACATAGTGAGGATAATGCGATAAAGAGCCAGGGACAGAGGGATGTGCTGGCAAATCAGCTATCTGCAATCATTAGAAGTTAACAGGCTTCTCAGTGACTTCTGACCTCATATTGTATCTGCTATTTCTATTAAAACAGTAATTTAACCTCTGGGTAGCTAGATCACATTTATTCTCATTGCTCCAGAGAGAAAACTTGGTATACGAAGTTCCTTTCTTCCCTGCTGCTCTGAATCCTGAAGCATCCCTGCATGTTGCTCTGCCCTTTTAAGGACAATAGTGTGAGACAGGAGGTGGAAACCTGCTGACTACCCTTTGTGGAGAAAACACACTGAGACTAAAAGAGATGAATAGGAAACAGAAGAGCTTTGGATTGGTGTACCAGAAATCATTTTTGTTTATACTTATGGACAAATGTCTGTATTATCACAAAGAATCTTTATCTGGGTTATTATAACAACTGGATATTGTCCATCATCCTCTGCTGCTCAGTTTTGCAAACTGAAAAGTAAGAAACAGGTACTGATGCTTTATCTGCTAAAAATGGTTTATACTTGAAATATTCACTTTTCAAATTCTCTTCTTCACAGGCTGCTCTGATTCTGTCCTCGACAACTTTGCCTTATTCTTATTATCATGTTAAATATACATGCAGTTAACCGGATGAAAAAAAGGATGTGTTACCTTTGCCTTACTAAAGAAAATATGGCACTGCCACACAATTTTGGTAGCGCTCACCAGGTTGACGGCGAAAGGAATATGGGTGTCTCAAAGACCAGTTCAGCGTTTGTAAGACTAAACCTCTCAGGTTAATTAACTAACTATTGCTTAGCACATCCTCCTTTCCTTCAGGGCAATGAAGGACAACACACTACCGCCACAGTGTTGTGAGAGGACTATGCGACAGCTTTATACAATTTCTGTTCATTTCCATGAGACTATAATAAACCGCATACGTTTTTCAAATGAGTACTGGATTAACGGATTTTGTGTGATGCCCAATTTCTTTCTTGCATAGGGCAGTACAACACAAAATACTGCAAGTAATGCTTTCTTTGCCACCTCGATATCCAAGGACATAAAAGAGAGGTACAGCTGTAAGAAGGGTAATATATATTTATGTATATATATATTTTTCTTCTGGATAAGCTTTTAATATCTCTTGCTGAAAAATTGCTAATATGAAGACTGTCCTTCTAGTAGATGTACCTATCTACCAGACTGTGATCAAGCATGTCTGTATGGATGTGAAATACCACCTATCTGTACGGATGCTTTTGAAAAAAGGAGCCTGTAAGCTTGTGAAGACACATCGGATAGTGAATGCTCCCGGTTGCCAACAGAAACCTGGAGATCACTCTGTGAGATACAAGAATTTGGAAGGACTCCTGTGTTTAGGACTCTACATAATACAGTAGGGTGCAAAGGTGAGAGATTTAGTAACGCAGGACAGGAGACCAGGTAAAGTATCTGTACAAAAAAGCTGGGGAATATTAGGGCAGTCTGTTACTTCTGAGGAGTTATCAAACATGGGGGAGAACTCAATAGCTTATGCCATTTCAGCAGGTAAGCTGCAAGCATTTAATGATCTATGTTCAAATGCAGAAGCTGGAGCTAAACAAGAGATGTATGGCAGAGAGAAAGTGAAGATTTTTCACTAAGATCTGGAGAGCCATGACCTTTTTTTCCTCACTTCCCCATTTTTCCCCTTTAAAGGGCTCCCTTTTAGAAAATCAGAGAAAATAACAGGGAGCCAATAGTCAGTTCTAGTGACGCACTGGGGGTTTCCCTAACCAGTAAAACTTCCACTGCACTTTTGGGGTATAGGTAAATATATCAGATTTGTCAAACTAGCCTCCACCTTTTGGTAAATTTGCCTTTTTCTTTTAATTCCTCAGTTCCAAGTCTGAAACCATAGGCCTCAACAAGGGAAAGAACAGGAGAAAAGGAAATATCCTATATGAAAACACTGTACTTAATTTCAGGTTTGGAAATTAAACAGATACCAATCCAAGCAGATTTATCAAAACACTTGTTTTGGCTTAACAGTGGCTTAGATCGGTGATTTTACATCAGCTAGCATCAGTTTTAAGTGAAATCTGAGTGCTTCCACAATTTTCTGCAATGATTTAATTATCTGGTTAAAAGCGGATTATGATTTCATTGGTGCAAATTTATCTGGTAGAGTAACCCTGGAGGGTGTTCTGTATCATCCACAACTGCGTATTTGGAAGATTATCATGCACACTTTTAAGGATACATTGCCTGGGGCTGAAGTTAGTTACATTTGCTTCATCTTTATCCTTGTACCTCATGCTCATCTCACAGGCTCATTTCCTGTCAGGTCTTGCTTAAACAAAGTCTAATTACAGAGAAAGAGGGTATTATAGTGATCAAGATGTTAATACTTGGATCAAGCACTATGTATTGGCAGTAACAAGCGTCTGTAAGAATTTAATGTCCTTACAAAACGTGTTTCTACAGTTGTTGGGGGCGCTTTCCATGTATACCTTTATTACATGGGACACACACAGACACTGTCCGTGGAAATAACAAAAATTAAAAATCAATATGCATTACATTACAAACGACAAGCTACTAAGAAAGTTAAATATTTCCCCCATCTCTTGTGATGTAGCTTTTACGACAAAATTCCCAGTGTTTATTGGTTTGCATCTTAGCCACAACATATTATTTAAATTAAATACTGCATATACAGTTGCAGTTTTGGTTTGGTTTATATTTTCTCTAACATGGTTTGAGACCCGTGTTACTGAAATTAAGTTAAAGCAAAAAGTTTAGAACAGCCAAATTCTCCTTCTGTTAAAGTTTTTAAGGATGTAACCAGATGAACAAGTATTACATTTACAGTACATAGTCCTTCTAACATGACACTGTATTTTCTATTAAAACAAATGGCTAATTTAAGTCACACAAGTTGGATTATAGTTCTGTCTCTCTTTTTTCTTATGCTTAGTTATTCTTTGCTTGCTGATGCCCAAAGAAAATATGGAACAAGATAATTGTTTTTAAGGGAGGAAAAACTAAACAGAGCAGGTTGTAGATAAGCCTTAGGACAGTATTTCTCAAATCTACTTCCCCTCACAAAGAGATGAAGGAGCTTTTCACCCCTGTCTCGAGAAGTTTAGTCCTCTTCACATCAATGACTTCTATGGTATAAAGCTCTTCAATGACGGCTAAATTGTTAGAAAAGCTGGAAGCAGTGTGCCCTTACCAATCAGACCATGAATAGAGTGGCTCAAATATACCATGTAAATAAAGAAGGCACTTCAGCTGAGGGAGGTAAATCAAAAAAGCTGGTCAGTCTGGATCCATCTTCGCTCCTAATCCTCAGGTAGAGTCACTATCACCCATATACCTACACCATGCTCTGCATGTTTTCTTCCTTTGGAGGAGTAGGTCCTGTCTTAAAAGGCAATGGCATATGCATCTTCATCTGTAAACCGTTCTGGCTGGCATCATGCAGAGCACACAAACAGCCAGTAAAATGACAGCAGTGTTACTGCCCACTATTTTCAAACCTTAGCAGTATCACATTCATAGTCAGACCCTTGTTGATTACTATACAGCTATGTAGCTCTGCCACATTTATGGGGCATCCAGACTGACCCCGCTTTTCCTGATGACTCTGATCTAAAGCGACTTCCACTCTACCTTTTCTTAAGTAATGCTTCACTCTAAAGCGATACCTCCAAGGTAGTTACTGGCTTAATGTTGTAAAACTCAAAAACCCCTTATAAACTCCAGTTTGAAATCTATAGAACAGGAAAGCCAAAATAATTTTTTAAAGGGTGAGAAATTTTAATCAATTATGAAGAGTATTCACAAATTACTTAGCTGGAAGATGTATTCTCATTTGCTGATTTTTTTTTCCCCCGGTAACAAAAAATTATAGAAGATTAATACTTAGAAACCATCATCAGCCTTATGAAATAGTTTTAGATTAATGTAGCACAAAATGACACTTTCATTTCCAACAAAAACATTTCAGAAGTGCAATAAAGCAATGAACAGGGGAGTACAGTAACCATTAGTGTCATGTGCTGAACTTCATCCCTGAAACAAAGTGGCCCAAAGATGTGATTATCCCACGATAATCACTCTGTGTGTTTCACCTAGTTGCTTAATGAAGTAATTAGAATTGTGTTAAGGGTGTATTTTGATCATTCAAATCCATCAGAAGCATATGGAACCAATACAGGAAAAGTACCACTGAAAAGCAGTTGGTGGGATGTTGAGCTGTTGGATCCAATTTGTGCAAGTTTAATTAATTGCACTATTTGGACTTTAAACTTCATAGCAATTTTTAAGTCCTATATAAGATATGGGTCAGCAAAGGCTGAAGTCAATAATTAGCATAACCCAGAGAAATATAAAGGTCCTGATCCAGTGTTCATTTATGTCAGTGTCAAAAATCGCTTTTCCCTCAATAAAATTAGGATGAGACACAAGGTCATTAGAAAAGTATTAAATATCACCTAATAATAAGAAGTCTTTAAGAAACAAAACAGAAGAGAATGAAAGACCGTTTTGATTGCTGAAACAGTATAGTCTTCCCTGTTGATCAGTGTCTGAAAACTGTTTAGAAAGTTCTTGGTAACTTGAAATTTCCATAGCTCAAAATCAGGCATTAACAACTATTATGAGTCAATTAAATATTTCTCTCTGCAGTACTGATAAATGACACAATACACGTCAGATTTCATAGCAAAATGCCAGAGTTGAATGAGCCCTTCAGACTTTAAAGGCAGAGGAACTTCAGTTTACAGCATTCCATACTGCTGCTGTTTTATTTCAAAAACTGTGCTTGTAACAGTAGATGAAAATTTTGGAGTCCAGATAAAATTATGCATTTCTATTCATTCTGTGGTGAGGAAAAATGCATGTAAACTTTATGTTTCCAACATGGATGTTGATAACTGATGTTAATAGGCTGAACTGAGAGTGAAAGGAAGAAGATTCAACACTGATGACACATATTATTAGGAATGCTATTATAATCTTAAAATTCAAGGTTTGCACCTTGTAATATTGCGAGATACTGGAATGAACTTCCGTATCAATTGAGTTGTTCAATTTACCTAGAGCCGCAAAGCCTTTAGAAATCTCAAGTGCTCAGAGATGACTCTCTGACCTTTACTGTATTACAAATAGGTCTGATTCTCAAGATCCACATCCATTAAATGCTTGAATGAGCTCAGTATTTATTGTTCTTTCATCTCATTAAAACAGCTAAAAGGTTGGGAAAAGGCATAATATGTAAAGAAAGGTCAAGTGGTAATCACGGTGTGAAATGCTGTTACATGTGTAAGTATAATAATTCTTTAGACTTTATGCTCCCTGGAGAGAACTTGTTCAAAACTGTTCACCTAAAAAGGTTTATTTTGTGCTAAATATAGCTTAACAGCACTAAATGGGGGAATTAGACTGACCTTTTGCTCCTCTGTATCTGCAATGGCCTTTTCTTGACTCACTTTCGCAGTCTGAAACCCCATCTTAGCAATCAAAGCTTCAGCATCTTGATTTCTCAGTTGCAGTTCTGTCTCTTGAGAAGCAAGTTTGGATTTTAAATATTCTACCTACAGGGCAAAAGGTAACGCGTTATTCGGGAGCAAGGGTCATTAGGTATGGTTCTGGCAAGATTATACCACATGTGCCCCAAAAAGCTGAACTGAAAACAAAATTCATGTTTCGTGGGTCTCAGTACTAAAAGTGTTCTCTTTTCCTTTTTTATTTTGTTTCCATTTGACAGGTCCTTGTTTGTAGCTTACAGAATTTTGTTGACATAAAGAATTTAATAAGAACAGCGTAATTGCTCCCACCAGGGACCCTGCAGCTCCCCTGAGATGCTCCCCTGAGATGCTCAGATGTCTGTCCAGCTGCTGAGGTTGTGTTTGTAACCAGGTGTCTCAGCAGTGCGACAAGGCCCAGCTGCAGCACCTAGCAAAGATGCAAATGTAAAAGCAAAAGGACGTTACGGAAAATGCTTAGTAATCACTCTGAGCAGATAATTCCAGTAGAGGTTTGCTGAAAGGTTAAGACAGACTCAGAGACTGATGAACAAAGACTACCTGTTAGTTTGCTGAAATAGCAATTTAATTGCCTGCCAGGTGAGAAACCAGTATCAAAACATCCAGTGACAATATCTTTCCACATATAAAGGAATTGTTTCAAATACCTGTCTGTTCCCCCTCCCCCCCTTCTCCCCCCCGCTATCCCTCCAAGCATTTTATCTGTCAGCTATTCATGATAAAAGACTGTATTTTGACCAGAGGGGACTCTTGTTAACCTGATCTGGATAGGGGTGATAAGACAAAGAGAAAGACCAATATTAGAGGGCTTAAACTTTCATCACATGGAAGGTCTTAAGGACTTTTCTTCCTTGGTGGGCTCCTGAAATCTTACAAAACCTACAAAATCTACCTTTTCAAAATTTGACCATTCTGAAATGAGAAGACAAAGCTGTAATACTGAGTTGTAACAGATGACTGTAAAGATCCCAAATGTCTCCACTCACTTTATTTTTCAATTTATTTGAGCTGACTTTATGTCTTTTTCTTTCTGAAAAAACTAAATGGTGCTGCATTTGATATTCTTGTCCAGAGTGCAGGATGAAAATGGCTCAAGTGTTCAAGTACCTGCCTAGATAGGAGCTGTGGCTTTGTCTGCTAGCACAGCATGCAGCAGTTGAAATTGTCAAATTACCTTTTGGTCATCGTCAAATTAGAATTCAGAGAAAAAGAGCACTTTAATCATTTATTAGCATGGGACACCTTATTAAAAATAGACTTTAAAAAAGCATTAAAAAAGCAGTCACTCCTTCCTGTTGACCATTGATTTTTGCAGGTCTTCAGGTTGAAAAGTGGGAATAAGCCGTTCAGCTCCAATTATTGTCATGCAGTCGCACAAAGATGCAACATTATGCAAAGACTGGAGCTGACCATTTCATTTGCAGTTTTTATATAAAACACACAGACTTTTTATTTTTAATAAAGAAATTGATGGATTATGGCTTCCCTTCAGCATCTGCAATAGGGATTATGGAACATGTGGCGGGGGGCAGAGGGAAAGGCTTCAAAGCAGTTTCCCCTCCTTTCTGTCTTTGTGGACTGACTAGCCACAAACAAACTGTAGGCAGAAGCACTGACTGGGGGCTAAGTGGCACTACCCCCACAAGGAGGTGACGACAGCTGATGCAAAGTTTCCACACTTCTTCCTCCTGCTTTCATTACCCCTCAGCTGGTCACTGGCCATGCACAAAAGCCCCACGTACAGAACTGCATCTTCTCTCTCCATGGTCTGGCTTTTACTGTGGCACTTACTTCCCCTCCCACTCTTTTACTGTGGCCCCACTACACTTCCCTTCCCTCCAGACTTTGTCCTTGCTCAAATGGATGAACCCCTCTTTCCAAAGACAGCTAAAGAGCTCAAAGAGCTTCTGTGTGAAGAAAAAACCAAACCCCAGTTTCCAAAATCAGGTAATTTCAATGAAACACAAAACTGCCACCCCACAACTAATCAGTCTAATGAAAAGGTGCTGCGATAACTTTGTTTTATTAGCAATAAACCCAAGAGTATTTATAAGAATGAAAGGAAAAGCTGTGACTTTCACAGTTTACCTGGAAAGCTGCTGCCTTTGGCTTCTGCATGCCATTCACCAAGTGCTCCGTGTGTCCCGACATCTCCTTGCTTTTCTTCTCTAGGAGGATCTTAAAGCATGATTTGCTCCGGAAAACTCTTCGGAGTGGTGTAATTGTATCGCCTCTCATTACGATTGCATTTGGCACTCAGCATATTCACACTGGTGTGGGCATAAGCCATGAAATCACAAATGGAGTCCTGGATGAGTGGCTGAACATACCCAAGGAACAAGAACAAATGTAAACACAGGAGCAAAGAAATGTTTCAAAAATTAAGTATATCTATGTAAGTCAGAAAAGGATACGTTTCTAAGGATGGTTGTTTGCAAAACTATTCTTCAGTCTACCCTAAACATAGTTTTGTCAGCATGTAAAAAACTTTAAAGCAAAATGAGTCTTCCTCAACTTTTATGCATACAAATTAATTCATTCTGTGCTGGCATTCATTAAGTCTTCATCACCACAGAAGCCCAGTGGTTCAAGATACTTTCATTTCTTTAAAATAAATACTCCTAAAAGCTAGAAACAGAGATTAAATCAGTCACTATACTGCCTTATGCAGAGTTAATAATATATGGATTTTCCATTTCACCTCTGGAAATCCTGTTTAAGAAAAACCCTGTATAGGTTAAAGAAATACAATAGAGCAGCTACTCTAACCACACTGATCCCCACATACCTCATATATCATCAAATTCCTATTCAGAGTGAAGTGCATTTATACCGTTAACTTCAGATTGAGCAGAACCGGACTCCATGATTTAGATTTCTGAAGTTGTACAAGTCCCGGCTTACCTGTGCTTGTCAAAGTCAGTGATAAACTAACATAAACTGGTACGAGGGCAGGATTAGAGCACTGTGGAGTGCTTCTGGAAGCTGAGTCTCTACCTACCATAAAATGTCAGAAAATCAGCAACATTTCTGTGCTGAAGAGATCTTCTATCAGTTTCAAGGGGTATTTGACCAGAAAAGTAGTTACAACTTAATGGAGTTCAGAGTCACCCCGAGCTGTGACAGCTGAAGCTCTTCCCTTCCCCAG